ATTTATTTTTATTATACTTTAAGTTCTCGGGTACATGTGCATAACGTGCAGGTTTGTTACATATGTATACTTGTGCCATGCTGGTGTGCTGCACCCAACATTATATATTTTTAAAAGAATGTCTCTATATAATTCTTATTTACCTGCCAAACATTTGATGAATGCCTACCATGCATACTGGGTATCACGCTAGTAGTTCCAAACACAGAAATAAATAAAATAGCCCCTAATCTCAAGAGTCTCACTATCTAGTCAAATATATAGAAATTAAATTAAAAAGTGAAATAAGTTCAAAACAAATACACATGCAATGTAAAAAAGTATCACGGAGGGAGAAGGAATTCATTCTCCTTACTATACGGTGTCAGGGAAGTTTCCTAGACTAAATGACATCTGAAATATCTGTTTCTTTTTTTTTTTTTTTTTTTGAGAGGGAGTTTCACTCTTGTTGCCCGGGCTGGAGTGCAATGACACGATCTTGGCTCACTGCAACCTCCGCCTCCTGGGTTCAGCCTCCTGAGTAGCTGGGATTATAGGCGTGCGCCGCCACGCCCGGCTAATTTTTCTTCTTTTTGTATTTTTAGTAGAGACAGTGCTTCTCCATGTTGGTCAGGCTGGTCTCGAACTCCTGACCTCAGGTGATCTGCCTGCCTCGGCCTCCCAAAGTGCTGGGATTACAGGCGTGAGCCACCGCACCAGGCTGAAATGTCTTTTGAAAGGTGAAGAGGACTCTGTCTGGTTGATGGGGTACGACAGTAGGGAGGAAGGGTTATTTTGGGTAGAGAAGATAATATGATTCCTTGTGTCACAAGCAACCAGCTTGATGCATTTGGAAATTACGATCTGGTACTACCTGAGTGTGAAATGGAAGAACGATGACCAGTTGGAGTTGTGGTTAGAGAGGGAGATAACATCTGTTTACTCAAATTGTGCAGATATATTTCTGTACACAATAGTTCACTTATCTAAAGGTTTTAATATAAAATAGTATTTTTGAATTATGGAGAGGAAAAATGGTGGATCAGGATTACAGGCAGAAGAACTGGACATGAGAGGTAAAAGCAGGAGGCTACATCAACAATCAAGATCAGATTGAACCTTGACCTTAGAGTGAATTAATTTCATTAAGGGCTCACTCATCTAATTTAAGCACATTTTAGGTAATTTTAACCTAGATTGACTAATATTTGAATGAGTCTCTGTCTCAAAATACTCTAGTATGTCCTGTCCCTAAATACTCATACTGCTTGTATTCTCTCAGGTCTTGCCTCTTTCTCATCAGGGCTATTCCAAATTGTCAACTGTGGTTCTGACACTACACTTATTTTTTTTGCTATCTACTCTTTCTTCACTTGACAGATTCCCAAAGAATGTATTATGTTCCTTAAGTAACTGTCTAGTTTTCTGTCACAGAATCAGTGACAGCTTTCTTTTTTTTTTTTTTTTCCCGAGACAGTGTCTTGCTCTGTCGTCCAGGCTGGAGTGCAGTGGCGTGATCTCAGCTCACTGCAACCTCCGCCTCCCAGGTTCAAGCAATTCTCCTGCCTCAGCCTCCTGAGTAGCTAGGATTACAGACATGTGCCACCACATCTGGCTAATTTTTATATTTTTAGTCAAGACGGGATTTCACCAAGTTAGCCAGGCTGGTCTCAAACTCCTGAACTCGTGAACCCCATGCCTGGGCCTCCCAAAGTGCTGGGGTTACAGGCATGAGCCACTGAGCCAGGCAGCGACAGCTTTCTTAGGTATGGCTTTCTGAAATGGCTGATGTGATGAAGTCTTTTACTGTTTGTGTAAGTTCTAGCAATGGTTGCTATCAGTACACTCATCAAGCCTATAGTACTGTACTAGTATTGCAGAGTGGTTCACCATCTTTTGCATGACTTTTTGCATAAATATTTCTAGACTATACAGAATCATAAGCATAACTAAAAGCCCCTAATAGTTGCAAACACTTCTAAGGATGCTTACAGATACTTCTGAGTTGAAAAAATATAACCTGTGGTTCACTTTCTAAGAGCAAACATTTCTTGATGTAAGAGGGCCACCAGAAACTATTACATGCTCACAAAAATGTCAAATCACTTAGGAATTTCATGTTTATATTGGGTGATAAACTATTTTCAAATCTTCTTCAAAAATAAGGTAGATTTTTCTTTACTTGGACTATCCAGCTAATCCTGCCTGAAAATCAAGGAATGTGATAATTGTCCATATACTATTTCTCAGAAATCATAACAAAAATAAAATTTGAAGTGTGAATGTATATAAATAAGGAGGTAGGAGTGATTGTTTTATTGTACCAAAATACAAATCTATACAAATAGGTAAATCTGTTCTCAAAGTATGGTATCCCTAAGGTCATCTTTCCATGGGTCAACACTTAGTTGTTCTTCTCTTTACACATCTGCATATGTTACTTTTAGAATTTTCTTCCTGAAAACCCTCTAAGTAGCAAGTCAAGTTGGTGTAGAAAGAGATCTGTATCCCCTGTTTACGTTCTAATTGTCTCTTTCGGATGAAATACTCTCTTTATTCTGATGCTACTGTGTTTCATGGAAATCTTCAGGCAACTACTTGAACTCTTCCTGAAAACCTTCTTTTTTTTTTTTTTTTTTTTTTTTTTTTTTTTTGAGACGGAGTCTCGGCTCTGTAGCCCGGGCTGGAGTGCAGTGGCCGGATCTCAGCTCACTGCAAGCTCCGCCTCCCGGGTTCACGCCATTCTCCTGCCTCAGCCTCCCAAGTAACTGGGACTACAGGCGCCCGCCATCTCGCCCGGCTAGTTTTTTGTATTTTTTAGTAGAGACGGGGTTTCACCGTGTTCGCCAGGATGGTCTCGATCTTCTGACCTCGTGATCCACCCGACTCGGCCTCCCAAAGTGCTGGGATTACAGGCTTGAGCCACCGCGCCCGGCCCCTGAAAACCTTCTAAGTGGCAAGTCGAGTTGGTGTAGAAAGAGGTCTATGTCCCCTATTTATGTTCTGATTGTCTCCTTCAGCTGAAATACTGTCTTTATTAAGATGCTACAGTGTTTCATGAAAATCTTCAGGCCACATCTTTTACTTGAACTCTTCCCTAATAATACAGCAGTCTTAATTAATCTTCCATTGTCTAAGAATTTATAACTGTAACATGTGCTTTATAATTAGGTACTTCATTGTATAGTATTTTATAATTTTCACTGATTATTTGAGAGTGTCAGTCTTATCCACAGTGATTCTATTAACTTCTCAATTACTCTCAAAGACTTGAATTGAAGAAAATCACTAGCACTTCACACTGGTAAATTTCAACAAGTTTTCCATGTTTCAGAACAATCATTCATTCATGAATTCATTGAATAAATATTTATTGGGCTCCTAAAATGTGACATACACTGTTTCAGGCAATGGAGATATAGCAGTAAACAAAACAACAACAAAAAATTTAGGCCATCAGTGAATTTTAATTCTAGTAAGGAGATTCCAGACAATAGATAAATAATTTAAATACACACTGGGTCAGTTTTTCATATGAGAAAAAGAAAGAAAGAGTAGAATGTGATTCTATTGAATAATAACAGCAGTATCTTATTTTTAAATAGGGTGGTCTGGGAGGGCTTTGTTGACAGTACTTTTAAGAAAAGGCCTGAAGGTGATAAGCAAATGAGCATTGCAGATATTTGTGGAGGAGAGTTCTGGTCAAACGAACAGAGACAAGGCTACTGAGATATTGTCATGGAGCTCTAAAGGCACCAAATTTCTTAGGAAAGTTATATTTACATGTGACCAAGGTATTTGTCTGGTGGCCTTTCACAAAACAGATCCTTATTTCCTAGGATGTCAAGCCAATCTTACCTAGCTTCTTTTGGGCCTATCTGGTTATCACTTCTTAGGAAAACCTTCCCTAACTACAAAGATTGCACTGCATCCTTCTCTAGGCATGCCCTTCATGTTGAATGCACCTTCACACAAAAGTGCTTATTTAAACATCTACAATTTCCTGTTTAATGGGCAACCCACTTGAATGTAAACTTCATGAGGGCAGGGTCTGTTTCGTTCATGCCTGCATTCCTGTCTCCTTGGCACTAAATAGAACCAAATAAATTACCAAAGTACTACTTGTGCAGATATGGTGCACACACAGGAAGTTTAACGGACTTCCTTAATGATGAAGGGGTCATATTTTGTATCCTCATCGTACTAGACATAACCCTTTTTGACTGATCCTTGCTAACAAAAGGGAGAGCTGAGTTCATTTGAAAGGAAATGAAGATTTAATGAATGAACAAGGTGCAAGAGACTTTCTGAAGCTCTAAGTCACTCCCATAAATACTCAAGAGAAAATATAATCAACCTGAATATCAACATCAGCATTATCATCAACAAAAGCACCAGATATACAGGTCTGTCCAGGAATATAACAAAAACTACTAAATTCCTATTATTTATTAGGCATTGCTCTAGATGTTTCGGACACATTAGTGACCAAAACAAAGAAAAATTCTTCCTGTTATGAAATGAAGTTTACATTCTCAGTTAGGAGAAAATATACCATAACCATAGGAAATAAGTAAATTATACAATATTTTGAGGATGGTTAGTGCTAGGGGAAAAAAACAGAAACCCAGTAAGGGAAATTAAGAGTATATTTTCAAATAGGGTGAACGGGTACACCTTGTTTTGCAGGTGATATTTGACACATGTTGAGAAAAAATTTTACTCTGAGAATGAGAGAAGTCAACTTTGTGAGGGCAGTAAATTATTATAGAAAAGATTAGATCACATATCTGAATGCAGAGGGAAACAAGGCTTGAATGAGTCAAGCACATTAGTAAGAGGAGGAGAGAGAGGACGTCTGTCTTGGACTTAAAATTTAGGATTTAACTTTACAAGAGCATTAAACTACAGTTGCAACAAAATCAAAGAAAAATAATATTTTAGATTGTTTGCTAAGAGAAGACATTAAAACACATTTTCAGTAAAAACTTCCAGGTATTTTATGATGAGAAAAGTCTTACCATTTTTACTGATGTCGAGTTCCTTAAGATTAACTAAACTAGCAATAGTGGTTGGCAGATTTGAAAGGTCATTATCAGGAATACTTAGTTTTCGTAGAGCTTGACAGTTGAACAATTGCTGTAATAGAAAATAATCATTAATTAGATCTCAATTTGATTAAATTCATTCATAAACTCAGTAACAAAATTAAAGTCACGATGTTTATATATGTAATAGTAAAAGAACCAGTTATAAAAGCCTCATTTTCCTCCATACTCATCTTCTCAATTGTTTCTGAATGGCTTCACATTCTATTCCCATATTAGCGCTTCTATTTTCTGCTACCCAGATTCTTGCCCCTACTTTTACCATTCACATTCAATTTGCCACTGAATCCCCACTGACTGCTTTTGCTTTTAAGTAACTTCTGGAGTTGTCCCTTCTTTTCTATTCTAACAGCTACCAGGATTACCTCAGTTCTGTTTTTCTGTGACCACATTAGATTTCATGAGGTATTATTTTAATTGAATCACATTAAACAGTTGTTTATCTAATATGCAAAAACTGCAATACACTGGAATACCTGAGCTCACATTTCTTTTGTGCTCCCTCCCCCAACTGGTTCATAAATATTTGGTGCATGAGACATTTAACCTCTGATATTTGGTGAAAAAAATCACTCGTAATTGCTTCATTTCTGCCATCAGTCCAAAGGATTAGGTGGGAAAGAGCCAAGTGTTAAAGTAATAGCTGTGAAATCCAGCATGCTTATATTCACTGGTTGAGGCAGATGCTTCTTTAAAAGGTGAATTCTTGAGCTTTACCCAAATAGGTCCTGGAAGGGGGTCAACAATCTGCATTTTTAACAAGCACATCAGTGATCTGGAAGCTTTGACATAGGTGTTTGCAGTATCATATTTTGAGAAACAATAAATTAGATGGTCTAGCTCTGTCCAATTCATCTTGACTCCTGCCAGATATGAACATCTGGGACAGAATTTTTGATTCATTTCTGGAAGAATTATCTTAATGAGATCTTTTCTGTTTGACATTTCTAATTCTGTTTTGCTGAATTTCCACAGATGAAGTCTGGTATCCATGGCTATGAAATTGGCCTACAGTACATTTAACTACCATTTGTTCTCACATGTAATTTGTTATTTATAGGCAAAAACAATGTAGCACATGGTTGTTATGTCTTAACTCATTAGCCTTTAAAAAATAAATTGGGCTGGTTGTTACTTAATATGAAATAATGCAGTTTCTTACTTTGGGTCATGTTTGGTGCCTTACAAAGATTATTTGTAACACTTCATGTAGTGTAGAATTAATTGTCAATATCTCAGACATAAATGTTGCTATTTCTTTTTATGAAACCCCAAAAAGAGAACTTGGATGCATACTTTGATGGATAGTTTCCACTATTAATTTTCCTGCTAAATAAATAGGAAAACAGATGCCTACACTCTTGGTAAAAGTTAATTTATACTTATTCCAGTCTCTATAATTCTGTTACGACTATTACATCTATATCTGCATGCAGTGTGGTCAGTTATAGATTCGTAGATTTAAAAAAATCAATTGTCTTATGACTGATTTTGGTAAGATTTACTAACAACTCTCTAGTTCGATCACTATTATACAACCATTTCAAGCCATGTTCAGGATAATGATTTTCAAAACACAATTTGTTTGTTTTATAAATTTGTCTCATCATCCCAACTAAATTCTGAAATGAGCTCAAGAATTAATAGTCCCACTATTAAGAGTCCCAGTATTCTTTTTCAACTTTAAATGAAGTCACATGAGAAAGAAAAGACACAGAAACTTCTGAACAGCCTGTAACAAAAAGAATCTACCATCTCCTTGGTGTAGAAGCTGAGAATATGGTATGTGGAATCAGACTGACGTGTGTTCAATCTCCACCCATCTATTTACTAGCTGTGCAATCTTGGGCAAGTTACATAATATCTCTGAACTCATCAGTTTCCTTGCCTCTAAAATGAGAACAATACGTTACCTAACTTGAAGAGTTGCTGAGAGAATTATATGAGTTAATAGATTCATCAGTTCTAAGTCACACATATTTTCACATATTAACAGCTTTGATATTTGGAATGCACCCTGCAGTCAGGAGTAAGTTATGATTTTTAAGGAGTATTTTTTCTTCCTTAATGGTACTATAATATTGATGTGTCTTATAATCAATGGCCTTGAATTTGATGAAATAAGGTACTTGTGAAAATGTAAGACTGTGTTTGTCACAGAGTAAAGCTTGATAACTGTAAACTATTATTAATATTTATGTACCAGATACAGAGGCACACCTATATATTAATCTATTTTTTACTTTTCTAGATGATGGAGGCAGGAGTCATGCCTGATCTATCTTGGTATCAACCAGTTTCTTCCTTCTATACACCAAAGTGGCTGGTACAGTGTCCTGTACATAGTATATACTGAGGAAATATTTTTGAAATTCTGCATAGATAATTAAAAGGGAAATAAAGAGAATGCTAAATTCCAGATGAGAGTGGTAGTTCACTGGATTGGGAACTTCAGATAGGTAAACAGTCTCAGTGGAATCCAGGTTGCAAATATAAAACAGTGAACTTCTTAATATTACTATGAAGAATACAAATTGGCAAATAAATTAAAAAGGCATTTTAACAGCTGTTTCAAGATTCAAAAGCTTTGAATAAAATGAGGAATGATTACAAAATACCTGTAATTCTTCAGTACAGTAGAATACGGCAAATATAATTGATAGCTATTATAATTAGAGTAAAACTGTTAGTGGTCATGGTAAACTTCTCAATGATTCTCAAAGACTTGAATTGAATTGAAGGCATGGTTATCCTGTCTTCATTTGCTAATGGTATTTTACATTTCAAAAACAATAAAATTGTTTCGAGTCTTAAAATATTTGTGTACTCAAGTGTTCTTTTTTCCTTGGGCTAAAGGAAGCAATTTAACTCTGAAGAAATTGGTTTGAGAAGAGTATACAATATAAATTACTGACACCAAAGTAAACATTTAGAACTGAAACACAGCAGCTAGATGTCTTCTCTGAGAGTTAACAAAAAGAAAAAAGCCTCAAAAGTTGAAAATAAAAATACATTTGGAGCTAAAAATGTATATTCCAAGATATTTCATTCATTCACTCATTTGTTCATTCATGAAAAACCATTTATTGATACTTGCCACAAGGTAGACACTATGCTAAGTGCAGGGGAAACAACTATACTTGAGCCCAGATTCTTCATATTTTAATATTCAGACATTAATATATTTTCATATTTGGGCACGAATGTACTTTAATAATCAGATGTTTATTTAAGTTTAAATTAATTTAATTGAAATTTATGTTGGGGCAAATATCAGTTGTAATGAAAATGCACAGGTAGGATATCTGTACCAGATTTTATTGTTAATGGTGCTGGAGTTGATTTATGAAAGTATCTTTAGGAAAGGTGTGAAAAAGTGGACCATGAGAGAGCCATCAGAAGTTAGCCAGATGAAGGCTAAAGAGGCAATAACGTCACACTTTTGTTGAAACATCTAAAGATAATCCCAACTGAAAGAATATGTAGCTCAAACTAGTTTCAGATATTTGCTTGATAACATAAGGAGACTTGAATCTTGGGGTGAATGGTATGAGCCTACAACATCTATATGCATCTAAAATATATTTATTGAATATCTATTATATCTATGATTTGTCTTCAACACTAAAGATAAAGGTATGAAAAGATATCAACTTCTGTTTCTCAAGTATGGTAAACTAAATATTTAAAGAGTAATCTTTTGGTACAGCAAAACTAAACACCCTCACACTCACCCACTGCTTTATTGTATAAAATGAGCTCTGACTGTAATTTGAGGCAATTATTTGAATTCCAGAATAACAGGAAAAATAACACATAGACTTACATGAGTCTGGATTTAGCTTTTGCTCTGGTGGTGTCTGTTGGTCCCTGATGGGTTAAGCCTGAGTTAAAGATATTGCAAGTGGAAGGATAGAAGACTGCTTGGAGTCTGAACAGAGTGAGAGATTGGCTTAGAGACCACCCCCAGTGAGTGAACTAGGAAAAAACTGGATCTGCAAAGGGATTTAGCAGGGGATACATGTATTTCTCAGCCTCGGCTTTGAGTGAAGTGTGAAAAAGGAAGAAAAGAAGGAAGGGAGGCAGAAAGGAGGAAAAAAGGAAGGAAGGAAGGCAGGAGGGATGGAGGGAGGGGGAAGAAGGAGTAAAGAAAAGAAAAAGAATGAAGAAAGGAAGTGACACAGTTAGGCTGTGTCCTCAACCAAATCTCATCCTGTAGCTCCCATAATTCTCACATGTTGTGGGAGGGACCTGGTGGGAGGTAACTGAATCATGGGGCAAGTCTTTCAAGCCGGCTGCAGAAATTTGCATAAATAATGAGGAGCTGAAAGTTAATCACCAAGGCAATGGGTAAAACGTCTTCAGGGCATATTGGAGACCTTTGTGGCAGCCTCTCCCATCACAGACCCAGGGCCCTGTGCTGTGTGCAGAAAGGGGCCAACATAGAGGTTGGGCCATGGCATCAGAGGGTGCAAGCCCCAAGCCTTGGCAGCTTCCACGTGGCGTTGAGCCTGCAAGTACACAGAAGTCCAAAATTGGGGTTTGTGAACCTCTGAGTAGATTTCAGAAGATGTATGGAAGTGCCTGGGTACCCAGGCAGAAGTTTGCTGCAGGGGCGGGGCCCTCATGGAGAATCTCTGTGAGGGCAGTGCAGAAGGGAAATGTGAGGTTGGAGCTCCCACACAGAGTCCCTCCTTGGGTACCCCCTAGTGGAGCTGTGAGAAGAGGGCCACCTTCCCCTAGAACCCAGAATGGTAGATCCACTGACAGCTTGCACATTGTGCCTGGAAAAGCTGCAGACACTCAATGACAGCCCATGAAAGCAGCCAGGAGGGGAGCTGTACCCCGCAAGGCCACAAGTACAGAGCTGCCCAAGGCTGTGGGAGCCCACCTCTCAAATCAGTGTGACCCGGATGTGAGACATGGAGTCAAAGGAGATCATTTTGGAGCTTTAAGATTTTGGACTTGCATGGGGCTTGTGGCCCCTTTGTTTTGGCCCATTTCTTCTATTTGGAATGGCTGTCTTTACCC